CACCACCTGCCTGGATGTCATTTCGTCCTTCCTAAAGTACTTCCACAGCAGCTTCGTTTTCTGTGTTTGACAGATGGGATCATGAGATTCTTGGAGATTATATGACAAAATTAGGCATTTTACCAGTTGCAGAGTGGAGACTAAACCTGCGGTTTAAAACAAAATCATTTAATTCCCAGGGAAGTCAGATGTGATCCTTCTGGATGTGAACCATGCCGTTTCTTTTCTCCTTGTCTCTTGAAGACCTCAGGGTTTGGTGTCACGTCTCATTCCTGCGGCATCTTCATTGTGGAACTATGCTGTGTCCTGCTGGCATGGCTGTAGGACTCTTCCGCCTCCCTGCCTCCTGGTGGGCAAGGAACGGAAGAGAAAGTGGCTTTACGGTCTCTCATTCTTAAGTGTATAAATAAAACTTGAGAAAAGTTGAGAAAATATGCGTGAATGATTTCCCAGTGTTTTCTCATGTACTGTTGGAATGCAAATTAAATAGTGATCAGAAGGGAATGAGTTGTCATTTGGATAAAAAAAAAAACAAAAAACTTACTTTACCAAGAAGAGTACCTGCTCAAAATTCTTTTTTTAAAAAAATTTTTAAATTTTTTTGGCTCTGCTGAGCAGCACGCAGGACCTTAGTTCCCTGAGCGGGGGTTGAACCCGTGCCTCCTGCAGTGGCAGCGCGGAGTCTTAACCACTGGGCCGCCAGGGAAGTGCCACACTTGAAATCCTTGACGTTGGGGCTGAAACCGCGTTTTGCGGTTTAGACCTCCACTCTTGTTCCCTGCGGAAAGTCAGGAGGCTCAGCTGATGCTGTGGGGTGCTGCTCTACCCTCTCACTGGCAGAAAAGGGTTTTGCCGGCGCGCGGCAGAACTAGCGCGGGCCCGCTTCTCTCCTGTCAGAGCCTATCTTTCGGCTGCTGCTAAAGAGTCCACCTGCCAATACAAGAGATGCAGGAGACACGAGTTCAGTCCCTGGGTCAGGAAGATCCCCTGGAGAAGGAAGTGGCAACCCCCTCCAGTATCCTTGTCTGGGAAATCCCACAAAGAGGAGCCTGGTGGGCTACAGTCCATGCAGGGCTCACAAAGAGTCGGATACACTGAGCCCGCACGAACTCATACACTTGTTCTTCCTGACGTGTGTGTGCTGGGCCCATCACACCACTTTACTTTTACGATTTTAATCACCATAACCAGAAAGAATCTGGACATACCCCTGTGCGTACAGAGTTAAAGTCAGAAAGAGAGTCCACATTCTCAGCTGGGGTTTTTCTCTGCTAAAGTCAGGACTTCTGGTTCACTGGCGTGTCTGGTGCAAAGGACTGAGTGATAAATTGGGGCTGGCGGAGGGGAAGGTGGTGGGGTGGGAAAGTGCAGTAGGGGAGAGGAGAACGGAGGAGTGGGAGTGGAGACAGAGACAGTACAGATGCGCCTTCCTCCCGAGGGGATGAGAGGACACACCCCGCTGAGCTGCAGGAGCTGGAAGTCTCAGATTGCGTCCAGTGACCCTGAAGGTCGGGAAGGTGCTTCCCCTGCATCTTACCTGGCTCAGCCACCACAGTGGTAGGTGCCCGGGCCTGGTCCTGGCGCAGGGATGCACCCTCACTGCCGCAGTGCCCACCCACTGGCTCCTCTCCTCCACGAAGCAGCTCGGCCGCAGCAGGGGCACTGGGCGACATCCATCACCCCCTGAGCCTCAGTTTCCTCGTTTGCAAAATGACATTCGAAACACGAACCTCTCAGAGTTGTCTTCTGAACAAGAAAAAAGATACAGAAAGTCACCCAGAACAGTGTGTGACACATGGAAGGCAGTCTGTGAATAGTAGTTAATATTGTTATTTTGCTGAAATAATAGCAAAATGGTCATTGTATTTGTGCCGTCTTGTTGTTCAGTCGCTCAGTTCTGTCCGATTCTTTGCGACCCCATGGACTGCATGCAGCCCACCAGGCTTCCCTGTCCTTCACTGTCTCCTGAAGCTTGCTCAAACTCATCTCCATTGAGTCGATAATGCCATCCAGTCATCTCATCCTCTGTCACCCCCTTCTGTTCTCAGTCTTTCCCAGCATCAGGACTTTTTCCAGTGAGTTGGCTCTTCACACCAGGTGGCCAAAGTATTGTAGCTTCAGCTTCAGCATCAGTCCTTCCAGCATATATTCAGGGTTAATTTCCTTTAGGATTGACTGGTTTCATCTCCTTGCTGTCCACGGGACTCTCAAGAGTCTACTCCAGCAAGTCCAGTGACTTCTGACCTACTGGAAGGATCTGAAGGAAGCATTCCCTTTGAAGGCTGTGGTGCTAAACCGTGGTCCTTGTATTCTTTTCTGTCTCTTCCCGCATCTGCCCTTTAACAAACTATCACCTCTGCCTGTGTCTGTAACCCCTGAGGCAGAAGTTCAAGGACAAGTGGCATTTGGGGGTGGAATGTGAGATCCTCTTTGGAGAGGCAGGGCGCTTCTCTAGAAATATTATTTTTTGAGATGTATAATTTCAGAATTAAAGTTTGTTTTTTCTTTTTATTTTAAAAACAATATTATATAGAAAATTCAATGGGCTTCCCCGACCAGCCAGTGGTTAAGACTGTGCACTTCCAATGCAGGGGGTCACGGGTTCGGTTCCTGGTCAGGGAACTGAGATGCCACATGTTGCAAAGTACTGCTTAAAAAAACAAAAGCAAGTAAAGAAACAAAAAAACCCAAAAAGAAAATTCGAGCTCTACAGATGTGCTTTAAACAGCCGTAACCTTGTGTTAAGCATTTTGGGGAGTGATCCATCTTTGTGTAGAGGTCCGCATAAGCGCAGCTCCGATAGGCTAACGGGTACCTGTTTTCTTTCATGTAACAGTGTCCAGTGGAGACTTTTCAAGTAAATGACCACATGTGTGCACCATTTTCCTTTTAAATGGCTGCACGTGGATGTGTTGGAACACCTAAACAGTCTCATCTCGGTATATTTTGATTGCTTTTAAATTGGAGGGAAAAGCTTTTATTGAATATCCTTATATGTTTTTGCTCATGTGACCAGTTGACCTTCTTAGCATGTATTTCTAGAAGTAGAATCGTGGATTTGAGGGCATACAGGTGGAGAGGTTGTGTGGAGTGCACACCAGCGGTGTCTGAGGGTCCGCTGAGAAGTCTCATTAGCTGAGCGTCAGCTCCTGCCTCACACACCTTAGCAGCCCTGGAAAGGAAGAGTGTGCTGTGCTAATTGATGAGTGCTTGTTTGATTCAGCCATTAGTAATGCTTTCCCAGAACATGAATAATTCCACTGTCTCAACACACTAAGAGGAAGTTGAAACATTCTCATTTCATCAATAAAAACACTCAGGGACTCAGCCATCTACCAAAAGCACTGAGCGGAGATTTTAACCCCCATGTGGACTTCTGTTCTGACCTGGCCCAGGGAGGGCCGTGTATCAGGTTCCACTGTCAGCACCGCCCCTCGGGAGGACCTGGACGTGTCCAGCATGAGAGCCCAGGGTGAGGGCCGGCGGGCAGCAGCCTGGGGAGGGGAGTGCAGGGAGCCAGGGCCGGGATGCTGCCTTCGAGGACGGGGCGGAGTGCTGCACAGATGACCTGGAGTGAAGTATCTTTCTTCATCTCTGAGAGGAAGAAGTGGGTTGAGCCCACAGTGGCGATTAGTCATTCGCAAAGGACTTCTTGGCTTCAGGCTTGAGTTACAGGAAAAAAAGAAGGTGGAGTTTCATGTTCTATGGGTCATTGTTCTCCTTGGAAACTGAACTTGGTTGCTCTTCAGTTTGGGGCCTCTGTTCTCTTCCATTCCCAGTGACATCTTTCCTGTTTGTTTGTAGGATATGGGTGATGTGAGCTAGTTAGGAAATGGGGAAGAGAGTGAATATGAGAGAATATGAATCGAAAAAAGGTCACTCCTGGGCAGACCTGGGCTTGAAGACCCCAGCTTGTCACGAAGCAGCATCTGATGTTGAGCAAGTGTTTTTAGATGCGGAGCCTCACTTTCTGTGTCTGTAAAACAATGTGATATAGTGTGTGTAAAACATGTAGTCTGTAAAACATCAGGTGATGACCTTGAAGTGTCCCCGGATGGATGGCTGATGCAGCTTATAAGCAGGGCAGAGGTTGCTCAGGGTGGTGCCCGCAGGTAGCAGGTGCTGGTGCGTGTTGGCTTTCCAGCCCTCCTGTCTCTGTTGTCCTGAGGTCCAGGAGGGATGGAACCAGCAGATCCTACACGTGTTCATGGGAGGAAGAGCTGGGTCTGCTTTAGTGTCGCCAGGGACGTTTGAGAGACCGGTGCTTCAGCTGGTCTTGCTGGAATTTGTACGGACCTGCACCCGTCAGCTTTCTACGTTGTGAAGTTACGGCTTCGAAACCAGCCTGCCTATCTCAGAGTCTGTCGAGGAACTGCGATGGGACTGGGTTGAGTGATGAGCAGATTCCTTCTCCAAGAATAATGTCCCGTTTCTTTTAGAGCTGGCTCATGGGTGATTTCCTCTTCTCTTTGTAAGTTCCCCTGACACACAGAAGGAGTTTGGTGAGACAGAGGGCACACAGGCTCATCTCTTCAGTTGCCACATAACGAGAACTGCTCTGCGATGCGCACGGGCAGGTCTGAACCGTCTCTGTGCCCCCCAGTGGTCTCTGGTGTGGAGTGTGGTCCTAGGAGGAGAAAGTCAGCCTGGGGACCTGGGAGGGTCAGTGGTGTGGGGTGAGCCGTTGGGTGGAGGGGAGGAGAGACCCCCGTGTCTGCTCTGGGGAGGGGTCTGCCAGGGCCAGTGACTGCAGCCTCTGCCTGCGTTTCTGTCTGGTGATGATGGCGAGTGGTGTGGATTGAGCGGCGTGGCCAGGGCCAGGCAGAGGATGGTCGTGGGCAGGTGAGCAGTGGCGACCCTTCCAGGAGTCTGTCGGATGATGTCACTTTTCTGCGGAGACATTACAAGGGAGGGAGGAGCATGCCCGCGGGCACCTGTCAGGTGGGAGTCCAGCGTTCTCCTCTAACGCCTGTGCTCTGCGTTTCTCTTTCCTTTGTCAGCCACCCGACAGTGGGCCGCCACCGCTCCCAACGTCCTCTCTCCCGGAAGGCTACTACGAGGAGGCCGTGCCCCTGAGTCCCGGGAAAGCTCCGGAGTACATCACCTCAAGTGAGTGGCTTCCCGTCGGCCAGGCTGTTACGGAGCCCCCCGTTTCCTGGGGTCAAGAGGAGTTGGGGCGTGCCCAGCAGCGTGGACGTTTAGAGTCAGGAGAACCCAAGGGAAGGGATATAGGAAGGGCTTTGAGAGGTCTAAGGTGTCCTCCTCACACCTGGGTAATTTCAGACGGTTGTCCTCTTTTGTGACTCAAAATTAGTGAAACCCCGTTGCCATGGGAACATGTCTCAGCTAGTGAAAGGTGTTCCCTTTGGTCTGAAGGGGATGGCCTTTTGAGGCATGTGCCCATGGGGTCCCTGCCAGGTTGACCAAGGCATGTCCCTTGGAGGCTGCATTCATGGTGCCGCCAGGAGGGCGTGTCTACAAGATACATACAAAACAAGTAGACATATCATGGCTGTTTGTTTCATTTTTAAATTTATTTCTTATTCAAGTGTGGTCAAATTACAATGTTGTGTTAATTACTGCGATATAGCAAACTGACTCAGTTATATCCTTTTTCGTGTTCCTTCCCATTATGGTTTATCACAGGATATTGAATAGAGTTCCCTGCGCTGTGCAGTAGGACCTTGCTGTTTATCTTTTCCGTAAATACCAGTTTGCATCTGCTAACCCCAAACTCCCAATCCCACCCTCTCCCACCCCCACTCCCTTGGCAGCCACCAGTCTGCCCTCTGAGTCCCCACTTCAGTTTCCGCTTCACTGCGAGGTTCATTTGTGCCATATTCTACATCCCACATGTGAGTGGTATCACATGGTCTTTGTCTTTCTCTGACTTGTTTCACTTAGTAGGATGATCTCTGTGCCCACCCATGTTGCTGCAAATAGTCTTTTGTTCTTTCTTAGGGCTGAGTAGTATTCCATTGAATATTCGTACCACAGCTTCTTCGTCCATTCACCTGTTGATCAACATTTAGGTTGTCTCCTGTTTCTTTTCTTTCCCTTCATTCATACAGGTTTTACCAGAATGTTTTTGCCTAAGTTAGGGCTATCACGACATGGCTGTTCTCTTCCTGCTGGAGACTCAGAAGTGCCCCTTTATTGACAACTTTCACATTCACAGTAAGAAGGACATGCTGGCTTTGAACACCTTTTTGTAGTGATGTCTGGAATTTGTTTCTAGAGCTTTGGCTTTCTTTCTCCCCCTTATACTCTTCAGTCCATATAGTCAAAGCTGTGGTTTTTCCAGTGGTCATGTATGGATGTGAGAGTCAAACCATAAAGGAGACTGAGCACCGAAGAATTGACGCTTTTGAACTGTGGTGTTGGAGAAGACTCTTGAGAGTCCCTTGGACTGCAAGGATATCCAACCAGTCCATCCTAAAGGGAAGCAGTCCTGGATATTCATTGGAAGAACTGATGCTAAAGCTCCAAAACTTTGGCCTCCTAATGCGAAGAACTGACTCATTTGAAGAGACCCTGATGCTGGGAAAGATTGAAGGCAGGAGGAGAAGGAATGACAGAGGATGAGATGGTTGGATGGCATCATCGACTCAATGGACATGAGTTTGAGTAAGCTCCGGGAGTTGGTGAAGGACAGGGAAGCCTGGTATGCTACAGTCCATGGGGTGCAGAGCTGGACACGGCTGAGCAACTGAACAACAGCAAAAAGTACTCTGGTGGGCAGCATGCTTTGTCTTGTAATGATACAGACATGGCCTCTCTGAGTGTGCTGACTTAGGGAACCCAACTTGCCTTTCCTGTTAAACATAGATAAAATGGGAGTGAAAGACTTATTAGCTTGTGTCTTGGAGAGACTCTCCGTGCCTGTCATCCCATCTCCTCTGTTTTCAGACACATTCTCCTTCATCCTCGCCATCTGCCTGTCACCGGAAGTCTCTGCTTCATGCAGTCTTGGGGTTTGCCATCTTCCTCTCCCCTGGCAGCACGCAAGCAGAGCCATTAGAGCAAAGCGGAATCTAACTTGCTTGTTAGCAAGAGATCCCCTCGGATGTTTTGTGAACATGAAGAGAGACACACAGAAGCCAGGCGGGCTGGACTCCAAGGCCCAAGGGCCTTTCCCACTCACTCACGCCTGCTCTCTCTGGAAACTTCCTACAGAGGCTCAGCCCAGCATCAGTAGATCCTCATTGTTCTGAATGAGGTCTGAGTGAGAGAAGGGATTGTTCTCTCATGAGAGGGCTGTGAAATCTTGGGTCTTGAGATCTGGAGATTAAATATTTTAATTTCTCTTTCATTTTAGAACCATTTGGCAAAAATGCATTTAAATCATTTCTTAAGCGTCAACTGCCTCAGAAGATTGTAAATTAAGTAGAAAACACACAAAAGATAAACGGCTTGATATAATTCAAAACTTCATTGGATCCCTTTCTTTCTGAGAGCAGAGAATAAAGAACAAAAACATCTTGATGAGGGTATTTCCCAACTTTGGGGACGTTTGGTCCCAGCTGTTTGCCGCCTCCACTCCCCCTTCTTCCAACATGCTTTCAAAACTAGAAATTGATAGTCTTTTTGTTTCACCTGTGGGAGCCCGTGGTTATTTTCGGTCCAAGAAGCCCCACCTGGCTGGGGTGTCATATCCTGAGTTGCTAAGGGGCAGGCCCCTTGGGTTGAGCTAATTCCAAGGAAAGAGTCATGGAGGGACTGCTGCTTGGGGAGATAGTGGGTTAGCAGAGCTCACACTCTGGGCTTCTTAACCCAAGCATCTGTGGCTGAACCTTGGCTGCAGGCGGGGACCCCTCCCAGGGGACTTTGTGGCAGGGGGCTGAGTCCAGGTCTGGCCAGGGTCACACACCCTTCACTTACTGTGGACTTCAGGCAACTTTGTTGAGCTCTATGTCATGTCCAGTTGGTCAGAGAAGCAGGACCATCATAAGTGTTGTAGTGTGAGGGGTGTGTGGTAGACACGAGACCCTGTGCAGTTGTGGGAACCTGGGAAGGTGAGTGTCATAGGGCTGGCTGTCATCGAGGAGAGCTGGGTGAATCCTGGGGACAAGGAAGGTCACTGGGAACCCCCTCAGCCTCTCACCTCCCCATACGGGGTCCCTGCACGATAGGCTGGACCTTGGCTCCACGGAGCTGCATGCTTAGCAGTCCTTTGACCTGCCTGTGTACTGGCAGCCACTTCCTGTTTGCCTTCCAGGTCACTCACAAACTTCCTGTGTGGCCAGTCCTAACCTAGAGGCCTGCAAGAAAGGGAATTTAGGGAAATGCTGAGTTGATACAGTGTGAAAGCACCACTGTTGGTCTTGGCTTGGTTTGGCATCCACACACCCCTCTTTACCCATAGTGAATTTACGAACAAAGACAGGAGCAGAGTCATGGTTCAGTCTAACACAGTTCAACTGTGGCCGGAAACTCCCCAGCTCCCCCAGAGGATACAGTGTCCTCTGTCCACTTTGCGTGACATTGTTCTCTTGTAGCCAAGTTACACTGTCCCCCTTGAGTGACTGTAACTGTTGGGCTTGATGGAGCCTGATGGAGGTGATAGAGCCCAATGGAGATGATGCAGTTTGATGGAGCCCGATGGAGATGATGGAGCCAGATGGGGATGATGGAGCCAGAAGGGGGTGATGGAGCCCAATAGAGATGATGGAGCCAGATGGGGATCTGGATGGAGGTGGTGGTAATGGAGCCCAATGGAGATGATGGAGCTGGATGGAGGTGATGGAACCTGATGGAGGTGATGGAGCCCAATGGAGATGATGAGGTGATGGAGCTGGATTGAGGTGATGGAGCCAGATGGGGATGATGGAGCCTGATAGAGATGATGGGGGCCAGATGGGGATGATGGAGCCTGATGGAAATGATGGAGCCCAATGGAGATGATGGGGATGATGGAGCCCGATGGAGATGATGGGAGCCAGATGGGGATGATGGAGCCTGATGGAGATGATGGAGCCCAATGGAGATGATGGGGATGATGGAGCCAGATGGGGATGATGGAGCCGGATGGGGGGGGATGGAGCCGGATGGGGATGGAGCCCAATAGAGAGGCGCCTGCTCAGGTGTGATGCTGCATGCTCCTTGGTGGGTGGGATGACCTGGAGCTGCAGTGGGGCAACTTGGGCTGGTGGGAACCTGATCAAACTTTTAGACTCTCCTGGGGTCCTTTCCTGAAAATGACCTGGTTCTCATCAGAGATTGTCGAAGCTGTGCTCCAAAGTCCCCCCTGGGAGAGCATGCCGAAGGCTTCTGTGTCAGTGTCTGAAACAGGGTTGGGCTGAGAAGCAGAAGCACCTCACGGTGGCACGGGAGATTTACTCCAGGGCCTGGCCCTCACAGGATGTGGAGCTGCTGAAGGAGTCAGTGGGAGGCTGTCCCCCAGCGTGTGGAAGGAGAGCTGGACTCGGAGTGGAGGAGGTGTGGACACACCATTGGTGACTCTCTGCCCTCCTGCCCACCTCCATGTCTTTCCTCACTTTGCAGAGGGTCCTCACTACCTCCTCACCAAATCATAAACTCCAGCACCAGCAGTGAACTCCTTGATGAGGGCACTCTGAACCCTGCTGGGAGGCCGCCCAGGAGACTTCTGTGCTGTCCTGCATGCCCAAACTCTGACTCCCCACTGCTTGGTTTGCGAAGCTGACTGACATTCCTCTAGCAGGATTCCATCAATCCTGCTCTCTCAGAAGAAGGTGGATCAGGATCTCACTGTCATTTCAGCTGTGGACCTCAGCCCATCCTCCCCTTGATGAGAAGGGTGGCCAGGGCACCGTCTGCTCTTTCAGTTCAGAATCAGAATCAGCCAAAACCTTCTTCCTCCATCAGGATGTGGTCTTGGATGAGTCACCTGCTCTCCCGGCATCATCCTTCCTTCCCTCTGAGATAAGGACATGGCGGTGCACCCACCTCCGGGTGGCTGAGAGGACCAGCAAGGCAAGGCATGTGACTGCGGAGCCAGCCTCCTCTTCTCACAGCTTTATCCCACAGCGGGCGAATATAAGTATAAAAAGTACCGCCTGGAGGCTTCCCTGGGGGCTCAGTGGTGAAGAATCCGCCTGCCAGTGCAGGAGACATGGGTTAATGTTTGATCCAGGAAGATCCCACATCCCCCAGAGCAACTAAGCCAGTGGCCACAACTACTGAGCCTGGGAACCGTGACTGCTGAAGCCCATGCACCCTAGAGCCCGCGCTCCACAAGAGAAGCCACTGCGATGAGAAGCCTGTTTGCCACGACGATAGGAAAGCCTGCACAGCAACAAAGACCCAACGTGGCCAAAAATAAATCAGTAAAACTATTTAAAAAAAAAACACTGCCTGACATACTGGAAGTGCTCATTGAACATTTCTTGCATGAGTGAAATGAAATTTTCCCATCGCTGGCTGATTTAGTCATTCATTCTTTTGTTCATTGGTTCACTCAGTGTTTAGTGAATTTGATGTTCTAGAAAGTGAGTTAAGCGCTGAGGGGTTCATGGCCCCCCAGGCGGCTATGAGCATGGTCTTTCTAGGATAAAATAGGACTTGATCCACTGCCCGGCTGAAATCTGTCAGCAAACCTTGGCCCTCGGAGCAGCTCGTGATCTTTCACAGGTTCATGCTTTCTTCCCTGGGCCCTATGTTTCAGCCACAGTAAACTTAAAAAAAAAAAAAACTTTATTATAAAATATGTTTATCAAAAAGTGCATAAAATATGAATATACACTTAATGACTTTCCATAAAATGGCACATCTAAGTGTTACCACCCGGTAAAGAAGAGAGCATTGTCAGCCCCGGAAACCCCCTCCTTCCTCTTGACAGCCTTCCCCCGGCCAGGGTCGCCCCTGACTTGGCTTCGGTGACAGTGACAAATACTGTTGAAAACCAGAAGGCTCGGGGCTGTTGGTACCGTGTTTTATACTTCTCATGGCTTTTGCAAACCGTGTTCCTTCTTCTAGATTCTCCCGTCTGGCTGGCACCGTCTCCTCAGCGTGGGGGTCAGTGGCTTTGTTCCGTCTTCTCCGTGTGCTGTGTGCACTGCTCTTTGATCGCCTGCCTGCCTGAGTTCTTGAAATGTGGATCTGGAGATGGTTTTATTTAACTTTTGTTAGAATTTGAATTTAAATGGCCACCACGGCTGCCATGCGAACAGGGGGTGTTGGGTAGATGTAGATGCTGGCGTGTTGGGGGGGAGGTGAGTGTGCACCTGCACACGTGTGTGTGTTGCTGTGGGGGAAGATGTATAGATGAGGAGGAGAAAGGCCTTGACTCAAGCAGCACGGGAGGGAAGCCTGGACTCTTCTCTCCACGGTGGTCTGTAACCTACATCCTTCAGGCGCTCGAACCCCCCACCCCCACACATCTCTTGGCACAGCATCCTTCCCACCATCACGGCAGACGCCTCTCAACGTCGCCCAGCTTCAGCTCACTCTCCCTGCCATTGGCAGAGTTACCTCTAGGGTCAGTTACCCTAGTCTAGACTAGTCACCCTGGTCTCTTCCGTAAAATCCTCTCCTGACTTGTTTATTAGGATTTAAAAGTTAAACCATCAACCTCTCTATTCCCCACCCCCCTTGTTAAATAATTCTTTGCAAGGAAGTTAACATACACACATGTCTACTGATTACAGATTACAGTACAGTTTCCAGTGAGTTCTGTTCTGTAGAAGGTAGGCCAGTTCTTGTGCATCCAATTGCTTCAGCCACAGATTCTCCTTATCTATCCTTCATTCCTCATTGAGGTGTTCACTCCTCACATGTAATTTGAAAAGCAAATGTATTCCAGATGTGTCTGGAGTTGAGGCAATGCTGAGGTGAATCAGACACTGCCTCCAGGACCTTTTGATCCAGCCGGGCTGAAGCGATCAAGATCAGTCACTCGTGTTGATTCATCACTTTTAATATGCCAGCCATTCTTCTGAGGGCTTTGCATTTAAGTTGAGCTAACAGTTCTCCGGATGATGATGGCAACAACGCCTCAATGGACATGAGCTTGAGCCACCTCTGGGAGGCAGTGAAGGACAGAGGAGTCTGGCGTGCTACAGTCCACGGGGTTGCAAAGAGTCGGACACAGCTGAGTGACTGAACAACAAATAGCAGTTCTCCCTTCTACACAAACGTGTCACTTGCTCTGTGCCAGGTCCTTTGCGAAGCGTGGGACAGTCACATCCAGCAAGGCAGTCTCCCTTCCTGCAGGGGACTGACAGCTTTATGTGGGACAGACAGACAGGGGTGACAACAGAGTGGTTAAGTTATGTGCTGAGTGGTGTGGAAGCCAAGGGGAGGGTCGTCTCACCTGGCATCTGAGCTCAGGCTGCAGTAACAAAACATCATCCACTAGGTTGCAAAACGATGCTTTTTATTTTCTCAGAGTTGTGTAGGCTTGAAGTCCAAGATCAGGGCTCCAACGTGCTCAGCTTGTGGTGAGCACTGTCTTCCTGGCGTACAGACACCGCCTACTCCCCATGTCCTCACGTGGCAGGGAGAGAGAGCTCCAGGCCTCCCTCTTCCTCCTCTTCTCAGTGGATTCGGACCCACTCACATAACCTCACTTAAGCATAATTACCTCCTAAAAGTCCACTGGGGTTGTAGCTTCAACACATGAATGTGGGGGGCACCCAGTTCAGTCTGCAGCCATCAGTGCTGGTGATCCAGGGGAGCACTTCATGCAGTAGGTGCTCTGAGTTAAATCTTCAGTGATGAGCATATATCCAGGCAAGGGGAGGAGATGGAGTGGGATCAGCAGGGCGCCTGGGTGAGAGCAGCATGTATACAGACCCCAAGGAAGGGAACACGGGCTCCAGTGGGGACCCTGCAGACACCCCGGTATGTAAGTGTTGATGCGCTGCAGGGTAGGGAGGGCGCGTGTGGACAGTCCCCAGGATGGCATGGCTGAGAGGGGTGGTCTGGGTCTGGATCTTGAGCCTTAAGAAGGGTTGGTGCATGTGGTGATGCCAGGAGGGAGGAAGGCACTGCAGACTTGAAAGAACTTTAAAAATGTATTTATTTATTTGGCTTCATTAGTCTTTGGTCGCCGTGCACGGACTCCCAAGTAAAAGGCGCCGGATTGCATAGGCTCAGTAGTTGTGATGCACGGGCTTGCTTGCCTCTCAGCATGTGGGATCCTAGTTCCCCAACCAGGGATCACACTCAGGTTTCCTGCATGGGAAGGTGAATCCTTAATCACTGGACCACCAGGGAAGTCCTGAAAGAACTTTCACATCAAGGTGTGGGTGGGGGTTTCCTTTGGCAAAAGCTATTGTTGAGTAGGGGTCATGGCACCCAGCAAGAACGTTGGGAGGATTTAACAGTGTGGGGCCTTCAGGTGCCGTATTGGTTTTTATAAATGCAGAATTCTTAGTCACTTCATTTGAAAACTCTTTATTGAGTTTCTACTACCCAAGTCTGAGTTATTTTTCCCCCAATTTTGCCAGTTGATGTTTTCCAAGTACCCTGAATGCAGGAACCCCCTCCTCACTTACTAATAAAATAATGGAGCCCACAGGTCGTCCTCAAGATAAGGTTTTTGCAACTAGGTTTTTGCTCACCTTTCTTTCTCATCTTTGACAGATTATGACTCGGATGCAATGAGTAGCTCTTACGAATCATATGATGAGGAGGAGGAGGATGGGAAGGGGAAGAAGACGCGGCACCAGTGGCCTTCGGAGGAAGCCTCCATGGACCTGGTGAAGGACGCCAAGATCTGTGCCTTCCTGCTGCGGAAGAAGCGCTTCGGGCAGTGGACCAAGTTACTCTGCGTCATCAAAGACACAAAATTGCTGGTAAAGCCTCGCCACTCGGTTCTATTGCGTAGAGTCGGTGAGACGCAGTGGGCCATCTAACCAGGTGGAATCTGTACCCAGGCGACGTTCCCATTGGTGGACACAGGCGGAGCGGTTTCGCGCTGGCCTGAGCCCGGCCGTCGGCAAGCCTGGCTGAGGCTCCCGTGGCTTTAACGCCCTATTCTCGCCAGCTCTCTAAGCACTCAGCGGGCAAAACCATCCCCGCCTTGGGCCAGCGTCTGCGGCTCCTGTCAGTGGAAATGCACGCTGCTGGGGCTTGCCAAACGTCGCAGGATGGATTTTCTCATTTGTAGTGAGTCAGTGAATTCCTCAAAGCCAGGTCATCGAAGGCGGATGGGCAGGCCAGGCGAGGTCTGGGGGACGCTGCCCGGGAAAGGAAATTCTTTTGGAAAGCTAAAGGCTGACTCTCGTTTCTTTTTTTGTAGCTCAGGGAGGCAGAATAGAAAGAGTAAGTAGCAGAGGAGTGGGGGCGGAGGACGCACACCCTTTGCTGCAGGCGCCAGGCCGCCGGGGAGCCTCGAGGGGAAGCCAGGGCCTTAGAGACGCATCCTCTGTCCCTCCTCCCTTCTTCCTTCCCAGCTTCAGAAATCACGGTTGGTTGTTGGAATTAAGAATGTTAGACTGTGTTTTTGTATTTTGTTTTTCCTTCAAATGAACCTTGGGGAACAAAAATCACTCAAGATTCTATCATTAAAACAGAACACATGAAGATATATGATTCTGTATCTCACTTTTCAGTGAAGCAGATGACCTCCCTTTTAAAAAAACAATCTCATCTGTGAATTATGGGAATCTTATTTTACTAGACTCTTAGGACATAGTATGTTTTTTGATTCATGGTTTTGTTCAAAAAAACACTTTTTTTAAGCAGTGAGAGTACATGTTTTTTTCCACATGTGTGGCCTGAATTTCTCCCAAATTTAGACTATGCCAAAAAATGATGATGCCACGGGGGAATTTTAAAGTAAAGAATGAAAGAAAAAAAAAGATTAAAAAAATTAATATGGTCCGTATTTACAAACTGACATAATGGCTGCAAGATGTGGATATGTTATATAAATGTTTTAAAAATACACAGTTGGCTTTTGTGTAAAGGGCTTGCCTAGTGGCTTAGCTGGTAAAGAATCTGTCTGCAATGCAGGAGACCTGGGTTCGATCTCTGGGTTGAAAAAAATTCCCTGGAAAAGGGAAAGGCCACCCACTCCTGTATTCTGGCCTGGAGAATTCCAGGGACTGTGTGTATAGTCCATGGAGTCACAAAGAGTCAGACACGACTGAGCGACTTTCACTTCACTTCTCATACAAAAGAAGTTTTAGAGCACGCTATGGGAAGCCTATAGTCGGGGTACGGTCAGCAGAGTCCATCCTCTGCCCCAGCCCCTTCCCTTCCTGCCTCTTCCTTCCCTCACTCCTCATCTACTTCTCCCATCACTTAACAGGTTTCCCATCTTCCAAACTGGGATGATGATGCCATTTAGAGTAGCTATAAATATTTAAGAAAGGATGAATGGAAAGCCATGCAAAGCCACTGTCTTTGATGAAATGCAGAATCAAAGTTTTATTATGAAACTTTGTTTCTTTCAAAACTGACCTATAATCCAACTGCCCAGATTACTCCTGTTGACACTGAAAAAAAAAAAAAGTTAACAGTGAGAAAAGCAAGTGCTGTCTAAGTCTCACAGAACAGAAAGCTGTAAATGGAAAACAAAACAGCAGCCTTTTCCCTTAACGGCCCCCAGTGCGTCTTCCCACGGGCGCCACCATGACTAGCTTCTTTGAATTTCTTTCCATAACCCATTTGTTTCTGCTCCCAGCAGCTCTCTGGTGGACACTGAGATGTGCCCAGACCCCTTCAGTGCCCTCCCTTGGACCCTGCACTCAACTAGAAAGCACAGCTTGGCAGACATTTCTATCTATTATATGCTGATATGTATACTTTTCATAAAATGATTCATCTGTGTTTCAGAAATAGAGTAGGGATGAGATAGGTAGACATGAAACGACATAAATTGTGGTGTATCCAAGGTGCTGTGTGCCCACGTTGGAGCAAATCTAATATATTCATGTCACCTATAGAGGAAGCTCCACTAGAACATAAGATCCATCAGGACTTGATTTCCCTGCTGAGTCACGTCCTGGTGCTGGCTAACTCTGCTGAGTTATGAGCAAGTGTGTTTGCACGTACACAGAGGTGAGGTGTGGGTGTACAGCGGGGCTTTGTGTGTGAGTCCCAGGATCTTCAGGGACTTCAGTTTCTGAGTATCTCTGCTCTTCAGTTGGACCTCCAGGTGCTTCCCCAGTGCTGTTTTCACTGCTGTAGTTTTATCCGTAGTAAGGGACTTCCTTACACCCTCACTCTGATTTCTCCTGTCCATCACAGTGCTACAAAAGTTCCAAGGATCAGCAGCCCCAGATGGAACTGCCGCTCCAAGGTTGCAACATTACATACATCCCGAAAGACAGCAAAAAGAAGAAGCATGAACTGAAAATCACCCAGCAGGGCACAGACCCACTTGTTCTTGCCGTCCAGAGTAAGGAGCAGGCTGAGCAATGGCTGAAGGTAACTTGTTGCTTTTGTTTCTGAGCCAGTTTCTTTCCCAGACCTCTTCCTGAGATCTGTTTTTTATTTAATGTGCATTTTTTTAAATGCAAGCTCAGGCGAATAGTGGATTGACCTGAATAGTTGTGTCTTTGATGTCTTGAATATTCTGATTACTTTGAGGTTAATCTTAAATTTTGTCTTCAAAAAGGCATTCTGCCTCCTGTTTGCAATCTACTTCTAGTAACTTTCTCTTTTGGTTTGATTTTATTGTTTTGCTTTGTCATGTCCAAAGTGAAGTGTTAGTTGCTCAGTTGTATCTGACTCTTGTGACCCCATGGACTATAGCCTGCCAGGCTCCTCTGTCCATGGAATTCTCTAGGCAAGAATACAGGAGTGGGTTGCCATTTCCTTCTCCAGGGGCTTGAACCTGGGTCTCCTGCATTGCAAGCAGATGAGCCTTTACCATCTGAGCCACCAGGGAAGCCCATCGTGTCTGGATGTAGTTGTTTTTTTTTTTTTTTCCTGCTCAGTTTCCCTGGGCCTTTTAAATCTGTGGATTTAAGTTTTTTCTAAGTTTTGGAAAAAGTTTTCATCCATTTCCCTTAAAATATAACTGCCCCATTCCCTTCCCTCTCCCAAATAATTTAAATATATGTTAGACTTTTTCACTATTTTCTACTTTTATCTTCTCTTTTTGTTTCTCATCCTTATTTTCCCCCTTTAGGTTCGTTACTTTTCTTCTTGTTTCTTTCCAGATCACTGTTTCTGCCTTTAGCTGTATCTAATCCGCTAATAAGTTTGCTCTTGTTCACTGGGTTCTTTATTTTGTCTATGGTAGTTTTCAATTCTGGAATTTCTAGTTGTTTCCTTTTAGGAGTTTTTGTTTGGCTTTTCTCTCCATAACAAGCACATACAGGCGTGCTTTTTTGGCTGTGGTCTCGATTGAGTTTGGACCTGGGTCTGTAGCCTACGGTTCCTTTTCCTGTGTGTGTCATTTTGTCTTCTTGCCAGGTTATCTGATGATCATGCTGGTCATTATATTAACGTTTGGAAAAAAAATCATTATAGTGCATTTTGATGTCAGCTCTTCTGAAGTATAATTCAAATATCCTACAGTTCATCCTTTTAAAGTATGATTCATTGGTTTTCAGTTGATTCATAGAGTTGTGCAACTATCAACATAATCTAATTTCAGAACGTTTTCACCAGCACAAAGAGAAACACTGTCTTTACTGTGTAAGGAGTCCCTTCCCCCAGTTCTAGCCCCAGCCCCAGCCAACTACTCATCTGCTCTCTGTCCCTATAGATTTGCCTGTTCTCAGCATTTCCTGTAAACACACTCATGCAATATGTATCCTTTTGTGACTGTCTTCTTTTACATAGCATAATGTTTTTAGATCCATCCACATTGTATCTGTATCAGTCTGTCATTCCTTTTTATTGCTTTTTGTGTCTTTTCTAAGAAACCATTTTTTAATCCAAGGTCTGAAAGATTTATAACTATATTTTCTTCTGATAGTTTCATAGTGTTAGCTTTTAAATTTAGTCTGTGATCCACTTTGATTTCATCTTTGGTTATAGTGTGAAGCAGGGGTTTAGTCTCATTCTTTTTCTTGTGGCATCCAGTTGTCCCTCTAGAAATAATTTGATTCTTAGCTCAATGGCTTCATTTTTCTTTTTTTTTTTTTTTAAATTTATTTATTTATTTATTTTTATCACACCATAGTGTATCTTTTTTTTTTTTTTTTTTACATGTATTCCCCATCCCGGTCCCCCCTCCCACCTCCCTCTCCACCCAATCCCTCTGGGTCTTCCCAGTGCACCAGGCCCGAGCACTTGTCTCATGCACCCAACCTGGGCTGGTGAACTGTTACACCCTAGATAATATACGTGTTTCAATGCTGTTCTCTTGAAACATCCCACCCTCGCCTTCTCCCAGAGCCCACAAGTCTGTTCTATACATAGGAGTCTCTTTTTCTGTTTTGCACATAGGGTTATCGTTACCATCTTTCTAAATTCCATATATATGTGTTAGTATACTGTAATGGTCTTTATCTTTCTGGCTTACTTCGCTCTGTATAATGGGCTCCAGTTTCATCCATCTCATTAGATTCATCTAATAACTGATTCAAATGAATTCTTTTTAATGGCTGAGTAATATTCCATGGTGTATATGTACCACAGCTTCCTCATCCATTCATCTGCTGATGGGCATCTAGGTTGCTTCCATGTCCTGGCTATTATAAACAGTGCTGCGATGAACATTGTGGTACACGTGTCTCTTTCAGATCTGGTTTCCTCGGTGTGTATGCCCAGAAGTGGGATTGCTGGGTCATATGGCAGTTCTATTTCCAGCTTTTTAAGAAATCTCCACACTGTTTTCCATAGTGGCTGTACTAATTTGCATTCCCACCAACAGTGTAAGAGGGTTCCCTTTTCTCCACACCCTCTCCAGCATTTATTGCTTGTAGACTTTTGGATAGCAGCCATCCTGACTGGTGTGTAATGGTACCTCATTGTGGTTTTGATTTGCATTTCTCTGATAATGAGTGATGTTGAGCATCTTTTCATGTGTTTGTTAGCCATCTGTATGTCTTCCTTGGAGAAATGTCTGTTCAGTTCTTTGGCCCATTTTTTGATTGGGTCATTTATTTTTCTGGAGTTGAGCTGGAGGAGTTGCTTGTATATTTTTGAGATTAATCCTTTGTCTGTTGCTTCGTTTGCTATTATTTTCTCCCAATCTGAGGGCTGTCTTTTCACCTTGCTTATAGTTTCCTTTGTTGTGCAAAAGCTTTTAAGTTTCATTAGGTCCCATTTGTTTATTTTTGCTTTTATTTCTAAAATTCTGGGATGTGGGTCATAGAGGATCCTGCTGTGATTTATGTCGGAGAGTGTTTTGCCTATGTTCTTCTCTAGGAGTTTTATAGTTTCTGGTCTTACATTTAGATCTTTAATCCATCTTGAGTTTATTTTTGTGTATGGTGTTAGAAAGTGTTCTAGTTTCATTCTTTTACAGGTGGTTGACCAGTTTTCCCAGCACCACTTGTTAAAGAGGTTGTCTTTTTTCCATTGTATATCCTTGCCTCCTTTGTCAAAGATAAGGTGACCATAGGTTCGTGGATTTATCTCTGGGCTTTCTATTCTGTTCCATTGATCTATATTTCTGTCTTTGTGCCAGTACCATACTGTCTTGATGACTGTGGCTTTGTAGTATAGTCTGAAGTCAGGCAGATTGATTCCTCCAGTTCCATTCTTCTTTCTCAGGATTACTTTGGCTATTCGAGGTTTTTTGTATTTCCATACAAATTGTGAAATTATTCGTTCTAGTTCTGTGAAAAATATCGTTGGTAGTTTGATAGGGATTGCATTGAATCTGTAGATTGCTTTGGGTAGTATAGCCATTTTGACAATATTGATTCTTCCAATCCATGAACACGGTATATTTCTCCATCTGTTTGTGTCCTCTTTGATTTCTTTCATCAGTGTTTTATAGTTTTCTATGTATAGGTCTTTTGTTTCTTTAGGTAGATATACTCCTAAGTATTTTATTCTTTTTGTTGCAATGGTGAATGGTATTGTTTCCTTAATTTCTCTTTCTGTTTTCTCATTGTTAGTGTATAGGAATGCAAGAGATTTCTGTGTGTTAATTTTATATCCTGCAACTTTACTGTATTCGTTGATTATCTCTAGTAGTTTTCTGGTAGAGTCTTTAGGATTTTCTATGTAGAGGATCATGTCATCTGCAAACAGCGAGAGTTTCACTTCTTCTTTTCCTATCTGGATTCCTTTTACTTCTTTTTCTGCTCTGATTGCTGTGGCCAAAACTTCCAAAACTATGTTGAATAGTAGTGGTGAGAGTGTGCACCCTTGTCTTGTTCCTGATTTCAGGGGAAATGCTTTCAGTTTTTCACCATTGAGGGTGATGCTTGCTGTGGGCAAGACTCATTAAGAAACAAAGGGAGAAGAACCAAATTAACAAAATTAGAAACGAAAATGGAGAGATCACAACAGACAACACTGAAATACAAAGGATCATAAGAGACTACTACCAGCAGCTCTATGCCAATAAAATGGACAACTTGGAAGAAATGGACAAGTTCTTAGAGAAATATAACTTTCCAAAACTGAACCAGGAAGAAATAGAAGATCTTAACAAACCCATCACAAGCAAGGAAATCGAAACTGTAATCAGAAACCTTCCAGCAAACAAAAGCCCAGGACCAGATGGCTTCACAGCTGAATTCTACCAAAAATTTAGAGAAGAGCTAACACCTATCTTACTCAAACTCTTCCAGAAAATTGCAGAAGAAGGTAAACTTCCAAACTCATTCTATGAGGCCACCATCACCCTAATTCCAAAACCAGACAAAGATGCCACAAAAAAAGAAAACTACAGGCCAATATCACTGATGAACATAGATGCAAAAATCCTTAACAAAATTCTAGCAAACAGAATCCAACAACATATTAAAAAAATCATACATCATGACCAAGTGGGCTTTATCCCAGGAATGCAAGGATTCTTTAATATCCGCAAATCAATCAATGTAATACACCACATTAACAAATTGAAAGATAAAAACCATATGATTATCTCAATAGATGCAGAAAAAGCCTTTGATAAAATTCAACATCCATTTATGATTAAAACTCTCCAGAAAGCAGGAATAGAAGGAACATACCTCAACATAATAAAAGCTATATATGACAAACCCACAGCAAGCATCACCCTCAATGGCTTCATTTTTCAGAGAGCATTTTCATTTGCCTATGGTACAAGCTTTGGTAGGCACTAGGTCTCCAAAATCAGTTTAATCTAATTTCAGAACTTGAGGTTTTTCAGAGCCCTCCAGATGACCTGAAGTGAGGCCACAGTCCATTAAAGGACAGGCTTATATTTATTTTAGTCTTACTCCAGCTCCTAATCTTGGGGTCCTACTCTTAAAGGTAGGGCTTCCCAGGTGACTCGGTGGTAAAGAATCCACCTGCCAAGGCAAGAGACGCAGGTTTGATCCCTG